ACGGGGCAGTATACCCGTTGTTCACCTGATAGTCTCGCCGATTAATAATAGAATTAATCAACTATTAGGTCTACAATCGATCTTTGGCAAGAATTAGATAGTTATAATTCATAATCCAGGGATACGCTCCTGGCTATCTCAAGGAGATGTTGCCTTTCTCAAACAAAGTCACATCTAAAATCGATATATCTACTGATTTACTGCCTATTTCATCCAGCAAAGTTCTCCGTTTAGACACTTGCTCAGAATACCTGATTTTTTGTATTTATCTGTTAGTAAATAGTTGCCTCTTTTCCATCAAATCAATCAAGGCATGTGTTGTCTAGAATTTCAAGACTCAATAAATGCAAGTCTGCAAGGCCATCTTCAAAATTTGTCCAATCGTATAACTCGTTTAGTGCCCAATGAAACGCCTGTAGGTAAAGTGCCTTGGTCGCATGCCGCGGCTCTGGCTGCAGACGGTTTTCCGGACGTTCGTGCCTTCCAGGTTGTTGATCAGGGTCAAAAATGCTCCATATTCAGGCTACCTCCACATGGAGTCCTCTTATGGCCTCATTGGGAGGGTTATTACTACACAAATGCAAACAATAAGATTTGACAAAGTTGTGAGAAAGGGCCTTAATATGACTCAGTCCGACTTTGAAAAGGCTTTTTATGATCGAAGGTTTCGTCTCAATAAAGAACAGCCCTTCAAAAAGAGTTGCAATGTCAATGAAGGTGATATGTTGGATCTGATTGTTCGGGAGGAAGACGGGAAAATTTACGGAAAACGAGTTGTCCTGGAAAAAATAGCTAAGAACGGTGCCAGCTTCTGTGTTGTTTTGCGTTGTGTCCGTCAGATTCATCAACTCTATGCTGATTGCTACCACTCTTAGTTTCTTCTTGCAACCTCCAGTCTTCGTTTTCACTTTTTTGATTGCAATAAACTAGTATCTCTTGTGTGTTTCTTTACTACATCGCCTTTCTTCATTTCCTTGTCTGAATTTTTTCCCAGATGTGTCCGTCACTCTACGAATTGTAGTCAAGATCAGTCATCCTTTTTTGAGCGTGCTGATGCTCTGTGTGATATTCCTTACGAGTGCATTGGTTTGATTTCAGTCGGGAACCCTGACTCCTGATTTAGATACTAGGACGGTAGGCGTTCTTCCTTATTCCATTCTTTTAGAACGCCGCCAAATTGTTGAACACCTTTTCCGAACTGGAATTCTCTAGCGAACCCTGGGCAAGTTTTTTAAAACAGTTTTAGCTCAGGGATACTTTGCTTAATCTTGACAGTTCAATTTATGAAATGTCGAGTCAAGTTTTCTCTCGCAGTCTTCGTCCTGGTATAGTTTACTCATCTAAACGGACAATAAGGAGTAAACCACTGTTCGCTCGGATGCGCGGGAGTCATCTTGGTTTTATCGGTAAATTAGGTGCGTGGCTTACTCACCTTTACTGCAAAAGAAGCGATGCGTTCGAGAAAATCAATGTCTCATTTCTGGTCTCTGATTTCGACCCTAGTCAACTACCTTGTACAAGTCAAAATTGTGTTATACATACCTTTGATGGCTGCCTTTCTTTGGCTGCTCCAATAAAGCGTTTGATCGCTTCCAATACGTGGTTAACTATTGCATTATGTTGTTTCTTTTCCGCTCTGTCGGATTATCTTAATCCCTTTCAGCAATCAACAGTAATGTACCTGCGAACAAATTGTCCTAATGAAGTCCAATAATTCAGCTCGATTCTTGTGGCAGGAGAGACTTAATCTAATGGGTCGACATATCTGTCAAATTATATTGTTTGGGAACTTCAAATTCTGGGCGAGATTTCCCCCCCTTTTAACCATACCACCAGTGGGTTTCGTGATTTCTTGGATGCTTTTTTGCACTTTACTATTTCAGGTCACTTTCTTGCAGCAATCCTTGTTAACATAACTTTCGTATCGCAGTTTCCTTCGACGTATGGGAATATTTTCAGTATTCTTGAGTTTGCTGCAGGGATTAAGTCCAATAATCGTTTTCAGTCTGCCAAGACTTGTTAGTATTCATTTATTCTATTATTAATCGCTTCAGAATAACCTGTTTGCGTACCGGCCTTGTATCTTCGAATTGGCTGATAGACCATTGCGAAATGTTTGTCTTGTTTTGTGCTTCGAAAGCCTCAGTAATGTCATGTTTAACCCATATTTTTATCCTGTATTGGTGTTGCTTAATTGGCTAATGTGAAATTGCACCAAAATGTATCCATGTCTGCAAG